TATATATATATATATATATATGTATGTATGTATGCATTATATATATATATTATATATTTTACATATAGATGCATATATTTATATTATATATGGATATTGATATATAGATGCATATATATATATATATATATTTATTTATTTATTTTCTTGCTTATGTTTGTCTTTGTGTTTTTGATTGTCTAATGGCTGTTCTTATTTTAATAAAATATATATCCTTAAAGAGACAGAGAAAATAAACTGCACAGACACCTAAAACAAACGCATGCAACGCTCAGCAATTAGGGCTTAGGGTTTAGGGTTTATGGTTTAGGGTTTAGGGTTTGGGGTGTTTGCTGCAGAGGGCGTCCAGCCTATAGAGGCGCAGCTAGAGGAGGTTAGAGATGAAGAGACAGCAGCAAAGGAGACACCAAAGGAGACAGAAAAAGAGACAGCAGCAGCAGCAGCAGCAGAGAAACAATATGACGTTTATAAAGGGTTGATGCTGCTGCTGAGAGATGCAGCTTCAAGGAGGTATACGAAGGAGAACCCACCAAACCCTAAACCCTAAACCCTAAGCCCTTAACAAGAACTATTTTAAAACAATTGTTTAGAGACAGTAAAGGCCGATATAAATTATGTGGATTGCATTATTTGTCTCTCTCTCCTTCTCTGTTTAATCTCTCTTTCTCTGTTTTCTTGTTTCTCTCTGTCGTCTTTGCCTTTCATATATATATATATATATACATATATATATATATATGTCTCTTTTTGCGTTTGATATATATATTATATATGTCTCTATGTGTTTGTATATATATATATATATATATGCATATATATATGCATACATATATATGTATATATATATATATATGCATATATATATATATATACATGCTTGTCTGTTTGATAATATATTTCTGTCTCTGTTTCTGTTGATTGTCTCTTGTTTTTTTTATATGTGTCATCTAATTAATCAATGTATAATTAATTAATTAATTAATTAATTAATTAATTAATATATTTATTTATTAATTGCGGTGTATGTGCAGACACCAGCCTTCTTGTTGTGTTCAATATTTAATACTGCAGCAGAGGGCTTTAAGAAGAGCAGTCAGAGATCTCTCTTCTTTTTTTCTTACGGTTTTCTCTGTTTATTTTTATTCTGTTCTTACTGGAGTTCTTTTCTTTAAGGCCTTTTATAGAGGCTGCGTCTTTTATCAACTCTCCGCCCATGTCCTCGTATCGCAAACCCTAAACCCTAAACCCTCGTTACAGTCATTAAACGCACCCATCCACATCCCTAACAGTTTAGAGATAATACCGAGTAGGGTTTAGGGTTTAGGGTTTACGGTTTATGCGCTATGAATGGCAGAGTGCGGGTTCCCGGTTAGGGTTTAGGGTTTAGGGTTTAGGGTTTAGGGTTTAGGGTTTGTGTGTGTACACCTCAGATGTGCATAGCCCTCAGTATAATTCCATTTGTTAACACCGTCACGTACTTAGAAAGAAAACATCAATTTCTTCACGAACTTGCAGACGGATATTACTCCCCAGGGCCTTATCTTCTAGCAGAGGTACATTAAAACTCTTTTAGGGTTTAGGGTTTAGGGTTTAGGGTTTAGGGTTTTGGGGTTGGGGTGTGGGGCTTGGGGTGTGGAGCTTGGGGTTTGGGGTTTACGGTTTACGGTTTAAAGCTTAGGCTTTAGGCTTTAGGGTTTAGGGTTTAGGGTTTAGGGTTTAGGGTTTAGGGTTTAGGGTTTGAGTGTATGTGCAGGGCGTGACGAGTTGCATAATGATGACAATCACTCTGCTGCCCTCTTTAATTGTCGTTTTTCTTTTTTGTGGTTTTCCGTTCTCTCGCTTTCCGCTCGTCTTTCTCCTCTACTTCATTTTTGAAGCAGTAAATGCCCCTACTGCTGCTGCTGCTGCTGCTGCTGCTGCTGCTGCTGTTGCTGCTGCTGTTGCTGCTGCTGCTGTTGCTGCGGCTGCTGTTGCATTTGGGTTGCATTTGGGTTTATTTTCATATTTTTCTTCTCTGCGCGTTTCGCCCTTTACTAGGCCTTTCTGTTGCTGCAGTTGCTGCTGCTGCTGCTGCTGCTGCTGCTGCAGCTGCTGCTGCTGCTGGGGCTGTTTCCGTTGCTGTTGCTGCTGGTTCAGTCGTTCGGTTTCGTTTTGCACTTCACAGGTTGTATCTGCTGTATCTGCTGCTGCTGCTGCTACTACTACTACTGCTGCTGCTGTTACTGCTGTTGCTACTGCTGCTGCTGCTGCTGCTGCTGCTGCTGCTGCTGTTTAGTTTGTGGATTCTGTGATGCAGTTATGTTCTGCTTTGATGGATACCTTCATGGGAGTCAATGCCGTTGGAGGCGGTTGGTTGTTTCTCGCTTCTGTTTTAAATGGATTGAATGCAAACCCTAGGCAAGAAACCCCAGGGTTTAGGGTTTAGGGTTTAGGGTTTTGGGTTTAGGGTTTAGGGTTTAAGGCTCTGTGGCCTGGGGCTTGGGGGATTAGGGTTGCAACAAGGAGGGTTTAGAGGGTAAGGCCTTCGGCCTTCTTCTTTTAGGGCTACAAGAGCGCCGCGGTTTAATGCTAGGGTTTAGGGTTTAGGGTTTAGGGTTTAGGGTTTAGGGTTTGGGGTGTATGTTCAGGTCCGTTCCCCCTGCGCTGCGTTTTCTCGTTTTTCTTTCGCCTTACTTTTATCTTTTTGAGGGTTTGGCCATCGCGCTGTATGAAGACAACGAAGAAATCTTTTCTGTAATAATAAACTCTAAACCCTAAACCCTAAATCCTTTGCCTGCACTTTAAACCCTAAACCCTAGTCTATGGTGTTGTCTGTTTCACATAGAGTTTCTCTTCACGAATTCATCACCGTTAATTTTTAATTTAGTCTTAAGTCTTACGTCCTTAGAATTTAGGGTTTAGGGTTTAGGGTTTAGGGTTTAGGGTTTAGGGTTTAGGGTTTAGGGTTTATGTTCAGGATGCAGAGCATGCATCTCGTTTTGGATATATGTCTTCTAATGAAATGTTTTCGTACTTTGGCCTCGCCGGAACATTTACAAAAACAAAATTAAGCCCCAAAGAGTGGTTTTGGGTAGCAGATGTACTTCCTTTAGCTGCCTGTACACTCGGAGTGCATGCAGTTTGCTGGCTGTACTGGATTAACAAACGCCTCTACAAATAATTCATTATTATTATTATTATTATTGTTGTTGTTGTTGTTTTTGTTTTATTATGCTGGTGCGGAGGCGGTGGTTGCTGCTGCTGCTGTTGATGCTGCTGCTGCTGCT